TGTTTGAAAATTAATAAACATTTTAATGGTAACTACAGTAAAAATCAATTGTAAATCATACTCAACTGGTAAAATCACATTAGGTATTATCATATACCATTGTAAATATTTCAATAATTGGTTAACATTCATGGAAAATGCACGTAAAAAAGAAATCCTATCTAATTGCAAAACTAGCGTTTCTCAAGCACCATTGATTCATTTTCATTGAACTTAAAAAAAAAAACACCTTCAAAAGACAAGAGATGGCTGAAGCTTTCTTTACTTCGTCGCCTTCAAAGACATTTGGAGATTTTGAAAAGGAATGGTTAGAGTTGGGAAAAGATTTTGAGGTGGTGTTTGATTCGGGGTAAGTTGGTATTCTTAAAATTCGTAACTCATTTAAAAAATCAGATTTAAAACACCAATTTATAAGCATTTTTCTAAATTACAAAGAACTACGAATGAAAATTTTGTTCTCCCGCCTACCTCCTAGTCCATTTGCAGAGGTTAAATACATTTGAATGAATTTTCATATTTCTTTAGATATTAATATGAATTTTCATAAAACATTAGTCGGGAAAACAAAGAGAAATAACTCTTTTTTTCCCCGAAGGGTTTACAATTAAAATAGTGTATATAATCAATTACATTTGTTTAATTTTATATGTGTGAACCATAAGAAAGATTTAGGGAACTTTTATTCATATCCAAGAATATTTTGAAATATGCTTACGCGTTCAAGCCCGATTACAATGGAAAACGCTGTCTACCCCTATAAAAACAGCTGGAAATAAGAGTAATTAACAATTAAACACTGGTATCAAAATTATTAATCAATTACCATTGAAGTCTTCTTTGCATTAACCGCAGATTTTATAGCCAAATCGAAATAAGTATTGAATTAAATGGGTGTAAAATGTAGGCTGGGATCGAGAGTTAGCGTACGTAGTTCTTTATTCTTTTATTTCATATATATATATATATATATATATATATATATATATATATATATATATATATATATATATATATATATGCTTCATTTTCTTTTACCAAATGTCTTTAAATTTCTGTTTAACTAGGAATTCCCCCCCCCCCCCAAGACCTCCAACTGAAGGAAGAGCCAGTGAAAAGGAGGATAAAAAGATCACTGAGCGAGTCAGGGGACTCGATTATTTTAACTCGAAGGTAAATCTTATCTTTAAGGTACGTCACTCGTGAAATTTGTTATATCAAGGATTTTTTGAGAAGTATATTTTAGATAAGTACTCATATAGTATGACTCAAAATCGGAAAGAAAATGGGTGGTCAGTGTGCATCTTACTTAGCTACAGTACAATTAAGTTGACCTTTTTGCACTTAAATGGTAACTCTTTGGTTAATCACTTTAATCTTTATCATATTTTATCAGATGTAATTATGGCAATAAATATGATCTTATTTTACGTAAAATAGTTTGAATAATATTTATCATTGAACAAATCATGCAAATTAATGCGAATAAATTATTGTGTGACATTTTTGCACTTAGAAAAATATCATATTTGGGGTATAAAAAAATCTAAGTATGCAATAAAATATTTTCTTGTATCAAACTTTTTATGACTTAAGTGCAGATTGGTTGGAAGTATCATGTTGTTTAAAATAATGAAAGAAAAAGTTGGGGTCAGTGATGTAAATTTTGAGATATTGGTCAAAATGTGCTATTTTCAAGCAAAAAACTGTGTAAATTTTATCTTGACTTCTTTAGTATATCTTCATTTCTTGGAAAATATAAATTGGGACATATTTAATATTCCTAGCATTTCCTAACAGAAAATATTCTCTAAGTAAAAATATGCGGGGCTAAAGTTCCAAGATATTAAATTTGACAAATGTGTAGATTTGAAGATTTTTCTTCGAAATATCCTTCCACCTCAAGAAATAGTCCCTCATAAATCTTGTTTCTTTATGAATTTGTGAGCAGTTTTTTTATTTAATGTTGAATAATTTGCATTGTTTAATTTAAATATGTTATAAAAATTGAATTGTAATAAATAGTTTTGAAGTTAAAGGTTCTGACTGAAATTTTCTAAAAAGCTGACAAGTGACATACCTTAAGGAATATTCTCTCTCTCTCCCTCTCGTTAATTTGCTTAAATTGTAAACTTTTTTTAATTGTATTTTTTTTTTTAAAAAAGGAGAATGGTAAAACAAAAAGGGAAAGGCGGGTTCACTCAAGAAACAGATAAAGAGGACCCACAGCTGAAAACATTTAGGTATAGTTGTTTTCATAAGTTAAGTGTATTACAAATGTACATGTCGACCTTTGATACGAAAAAAAAGAATGATACAATAAACAAAAAAAAATATAAAGATTGAATAATTATCTTGAAAACAGAATAACTCTATAGTTTAAAGTCTTAGAATTTAAATGTAGACCTCTGTTAATCATTAAAGACTTAAACATTTTTTTTTCTATATTTTCTTAACAGATTAGGTCTTAGTATGCTCGGTTAGACACTTTATGTTTTGTTCTTCATTACAGACAGGAAAACACTGGAAAATATGAAGCCCTGGAAAAGAGAACTAGTACCAGGTGTACGTTCACCTTAGGATCGTTGACACCTAGATATACCTCAGCAGCAACAGGATATAGCCCAGCGTCACCAGGGTATAGCCCAGTATCACCAAGCCCCGCATCACCAAGCCCCACATCACCAGGGTATAGCCCAGTGTCACCATAATATACTCCAGCGTGTCAAGATCACAAGGATATGTCCCTGTGAAACAAGAACATGTCCTTCCTTCACCTGATCACACCTGGACTCCACTTCAGGCTCCATTTATGAATACCCCAACGTCATCGGGGTATGCTCAGATGACATGCAGCCCTGTGTATGAAGATTCTCAATATCCTTTAAAAGAGGAGTTGGGGGCACTGTCCGAATTAATCGACTCTCTGCGAGTTGATCTACTTCAAAGTTCAATGCTTGTGAACTATGTTCAAGATTATATGAAAAAAAGGAAGTAAAGAGAACTGACAGTGGAATTAAAGAGAACTGACAGTGATTTTATTTTTATTTTGTACTGATAAGTTTTGGTCATATGCGTCCACAGATCATTTTATCATATTAAATGTGAAATCATGTACATTTACAATTGATATTGAAGAATTCAAACTTTATTAATAAAATATAGAATTTTTTATTGTTGTTATTGATGCTGGTATTGAAAGTTTTTTTTATCGCAAAAATTAATGTGGAAACAGGAAACAAGTTGTGTATTACTTACTAATCCAAGATGACAACACTCCCTCTTCGTTTACTAAGACTAGACTGTGAAAAAAAATTGAAAAAAGTTTTGACTTTTATAGTAATGATTTCTCGGGTACCTTATAGGTGTGCCCTTGACATTCCCTTAGTTGCAGAACTAAAATGGAATAATTACAAGTAGAAAGCCGTGCAAGTGTTTGAAAAAATAGTTACAAGTCATTATCTTGTGGGTACATATGCCCCACTCCCTAAAATGGAAAAAAAACCAAGGTTGAAAATGGGTGTGTAAGAATGAACTCATGGGATGGGTGACCTCAGACGGTCCTAAGAGAGTTGACCGCAGACGGTCCTAGGAGAGTTGACCTCAGACGGCCTCTAAGGGTGGTGACCCTTGACGGTCCTAGGAGTGGTGGGTGCCTTAAAAGTGCCCTCAGACTACCCTATGAGTGGTGCCCCCAGACGGCCCTGGGGAGTAGCGGTTCCTCTAAGGTGCCCCCAGACTACCCCCCTTACTAGTGGCACACTGTGAGTAAAGTATGAGCCACATTGGACCAAGAGGAGAGTATGTATGCTCCGGACAAGGATTTTTCATATACTTCTGCTGTGACCTTGACCTTAGACCTAGAAACATGGTTCAAGGTCACTGCACACCCTTTACCCAAAGGTACTCTGTGGATGAAGTATTAGCCAGTTTGGGCCAAGGAGAGAGAAAATACGCTCCGGACAAGAATTTAAGCAGTGAGGCTATTTTTAACCTTGACCCTTGACCTAGAAACTTTTTTCAAGGTTACTGCATATTCACTGACCATTGGCACTCTGTGAGTGAAGTATGAGCCTCACTGGACCAAGAGGAGAGAAGATATTCTCCGAACAAGGAATTTTCATGTAATTCTGTTCTGACCTTCACCTTAGACCTAGAAACATGGTTCAAGGTCACTGCAAACCCTTTACCCAAAGACACTCTGTGGGTGAAGTATTAGCTAGATTGGGCCAAGGAGAGAGAAGATATGCTCCGGACAAGAGATCTCGGACGGACAGACTGATCACTATAGGGCGCCCGCAGAGCGGGGCCCTTATTATACATCATTGAACAAAGTAAGCATTAATGTTTCTTTTTCATATCATTTTTGACACAAAATCCATATGTTGTAAAAATGGTATCTATATGCAGTCATATCAAACTTATTTAAGCTTGCATGCTTTACTGAACGTTTGGTTAATTTCTAGCAAATCACATAATTCAGAGTTACACTTCAATGTTAATACAAATTGTACATTGTTGCGCTATGTCGTTTTTGGTTTCGTGACACTAATTTATATCTATGTTGTTCTTAACAATGTAAGAATAAACCGAATTGAAAGTTAAACTGACTTTAATTATTGCACATATCATTCAAAAGTTTTATAATTTTGTAATGCCACCTGTTTAAAAGGCGTATTATAACTACAATGTATATTACGTATGTTGATTGTATCATAAATAATCATATCGTGAAGAACCGAAAACTCTATTAATTAGTATTATTTACCTTTTCGTTTTCATTTAGGAACGCCTTTACTTTTATTCCAAAGCTAGCCTTTCCTTAAGACGATTTCTAGGAGAAGCGTTTAAAAGCGTAAAATTAGTTTTCATGGCGTAACAGCGTAATTTTGGGGAAAAAAGCGGAAGAATTACGCCAAAAGCGGAAGGGTAAGCAGGTCTGCGTTAAGTCAGACATTAAGAAACTACTTTCAATGCCAGACGAGACCCCCGAAAATTTAAGTATGGACGAAAAATCCGCCTTACAATCACTAAAGAATAGGGATGACATTGTTATGAAGAAAGCAGACAAAGGCTCTACAATGGTAGTACTTGATAAAGAGACGTACATGGCGGAAGCCCATAAACAACTCTCAGCCGAAGGTTTCTATAAGAAAGTGGACTCTGACCCTACTTAAGAATTCTCCACCGCCATCACCAAAACCCTTGACGAAATGTTTGAGAAAAACGAGATTGGTATCAACGTCTACGAGACATTCAATACTATCGACTGTAGACCAGGACAATTTTACCTGCTTCGTAGGATACATAAAAAAGGCATGCCAGGTCGCCCTCTAGTTAGTGCAATTGGACACCCCACGGAGAAAATTTCTGAATACATTGATTTACATCTCCATCCACATGTAGAGAATTTACCATCCTATCTCAAGGACACCAGACTACATAAACAAGACGCCCTCTACTGGCCTTCCAGATCATACCCTTCTCGTGACTATTGCTGTCACATCTTTGTACACCTATATTCCGCACGATGAGGGTATCGAGGCCTGTAGAGAAGTATGGGATAGTAGATCCATACAAATTCCTTCTATTGAGTCCCTTGCCAAGCTCCTTGAGCACGTTCTCAAGTATAACAACTTCGTGTTTAATGGAGGATATTACCTGCAGGTTAATGGCACTGCTATGTGTCCGAAAATGGCCCCATCTAATGCCAATATTTTCATGGGCAGACTCGAGTACAACTCATCGGTGAAACATATTCCTAGATACATCTACCCTGATTGATGGTGAAATCGAGTTCAGTCTCCACATGAAACCCACCGATTCCCATCTGTATCCTATGCCGACTAGCTGTCACCCCCTAACACATTTAAGGGAGTGCCTAAGGGTCTAGCCACCAGAATTCCGCGCATCTGTTCATCCCCTGCCTTATATCAGGACCAAAGCAGTCTCCTCAAGTTCCACCTATGCAAAAGAGGATACAAAGCCCGCAGTTTACAAACTGCTATTGATGAGATGCACTACAAGGAGAAAGACAATAGCAGCAGGGTCCCTTCTGGTAACCACATACCATCCCGTCCTTAAAAACATCAGCGGTATCCTTAAAACGAACCTGCCAATTCTCCACGCAAACAAACGAATGACAGAGGTCTTTAAGGAACCTCCATTGGCTGCATACAGACGCCCGAGGAACCTAAAGGACATGGTAGTAATTAAGAACCAGATTGGACAATCCATTACCTAACGGGGGCTTTAAAAACTTGCTCTGACAGAAGATGTCTTCTCTGTAAGCACAGCTCTGACACAGACAGCTTTAACAGCCCCGTTACCGGCCGCAGCTACAGAGTACTAGGGAATTTGTCCTGTCCAACAGACAACTGCATCTATCTCATCTGTTGCAAAGTTTGTTCCAAACAGTATGTTGGGGAAACGGGAGATCTCTGCAGGAGAGTCAATAATCACCGTTCGGCCATTAGGACCAAAAAACACAATGAACCCGTTGGAGATCATTTCAACCTTGAAGGTCACAAATGGGAGGACATCACAGTTGTGGTTATTGACCATAATCCAAGATGTATAGACGCTCAGAGAAAAAGCAAAGGAAAGTTCTGGATGAACAGACTGAAGTCATTCCGCCCTAACAGTATTACCAAAGTAAATGACTTCACCAGGATGAACGTGAACTAGCCCAGTTTCTGATTGTAAAAAACAAGTTCCTTCCCTCTATTTAGTGTAAACTTTACCGCTAATTTGCATTATCAATTCTGGAACAGCCGCCACACAGATTTATTGCTTACATTTATGTTATTTCTTTTATTCAAGAAACAGTCCTAAAAACACTTTAGCTTTTAACGCCCTATGAATAGGCCGAGTATTTGATACAAAAGACTTTTCAGAAAAAAAAGAAATATATTAAGTATAAAATTGTAAACAGCTTCAATTGTATTTGATAAATACCTTATTCATTAATTTTCTCCTTTCATATAAGCAAATTTATTACTAAGTACACTTTGGGATCGTTGCCACTATGCGCTCAGTGAGGAATATACAAATTTTACCGATAAATTTATTAGGAAAACCTACGAACAGTCTTACGATCTATAAATATATTCACAAGTTATAGTGTTATCAATGATTTACCATTATTTCAATGACCATTCACACAAAAGCTTTTTTTTTTATGTTCATGCAGCTATAATCGCCTCGCTATCAGGCTCGACGCTATGATGATCTAGAAGTTTCCGTTAATACTAAGATCGGTGAATGACGAAAATAATTTGCACATTTCTCGTTTTAATCGGTTATCAAAACTTATTTCATTTTTATCATTTAAATCAAAATTTCATTGAATAATTCAGCGATTACGTTTTATGAAATAAATAAACGATTGCTTGCTGTCAGTTTCATTAGTAATTGCCAATAACTAAGATCCGCCAACCGGAACCGCCACCGTACTCACGTGTTTTCCATTTCATGGCTGTTCATAGAAAATGAAAGCAGACATTTAATTTAATGTACGATACTTATTATGCGAGTGAAATCTGAATATAGTTTACAGACATCATCTTGTATCTAGTGAATTCATAAAGGAATTAGTAAAATCTCTGGGGCACCCGTTTCGGAGTTTATTTGCAAAATTTATTAATTTTTAAGTTTAGATGGATCGGACACAGTGCCACCATACATCGGAATATATAACATTCGGACTGATATTACATGCATGAATGTGTAACTATGTTTCTGTATAAATGAAGTTACTTGTTTTATTTTAGGTCATTTCTAATACCATAATCTTTGTTTAAAAAACAGACGATTTATTTATTATTTTAAGCAAATAGATTTAATATTGATTTTTATTTAATTTAATTGCTTTAACTTTACGGGGTCTTACGTTCCAAAGCTTACTTACGTTCCAAAGCTTACTCCTACAGAAAATTGCAGACCCATTCTTGAGCAGTGGTTGCAATGGCAAACGCAGAAATATTCAAGGTCAACTTTTAATGCCGTTTCGGCAAAAAGAAAGAAAAAAAGAAAAGCCAATGCAGCAAGTGCTCCTAAGTTTTGATCCGTGGATACATGGTTCCAGCAAGTTTCTACAATTCTGCAGTTTTTGACATTGATAATGCTCATAGAGACTATGCTATGTCTCCAAACTGCAGATTTTAGCGATGTAGGGGTTTAATGAATTCAAATAAAAACACATGGCTGGATGATGAACTTGCCTTTAATGACAGACAATGGAAATTTAAAGTTCACAAACTCAAATGGCGACAAAATGTACAAAAAAAATATTACTATTTATTTTAACATATTTTTTTTCCATTATAAGGTTAATTTATTCCAAACATGTTTGGAGACAGCTGATGCTCTTTGTTCTAAATTCATTTTTAACTATTTTTTTTTTTTAATTTCAAAAGAAATCTAGAAAGAAATTCTTTTTTCATTTAAAATACATTCAAATCGTAGGTTTCAAAAAAGTTCACGTATTTCTTTCAATTAAATTACAAATATACTTTTTTTTTTTTTTTTTTTTATAAATTCTAGAGTATGGATTTGATAACCTTGAAATATTTCTTATATTTTCTTATCTTGGCTTCAGTATTTGCATAAGTCTAAAGTTGTCTTTGAAAATGAGGTCAAGGTGAGAGTAATTGCGAACACCTGCCACTGAACAACAGGAAATGTCCTGTTGACCAGCAAAATGCCTGGGGACAGTTACACAACACTGACATCAAAATATGACGAATTACAAGGACCATCTTATGAAGAGCAAATATGACAAAAATTGCTATGTCTACAATGAAACCGAAACGATGAAGGAAATTTTAGACGTACGAGTAATATGGCGGACTATATGTCCGAAATTCATAAAGAAGACCAAATAACAAACCTTAAAAACTTCTACTGCACGAATAAAAAAAATCACCTTTAATCATTGAGATGACATTCAATCTCTGAGACATGCACGTTGCGTTGTAATTAAAGTACTGGGGAACCACCGATTATTTAATCTCTTGTACATTCATGTCATTAGTGACTTTGAAACCTATAGGAATTTTTTTAACCACATGAGGACATAACTATCCGACAGCAACACAACTAAACTTTCAGCTTGCTCTGAGGAAAAGAAAACCTCTATTTATGTGCATGACAATAGATCAAAACCTTTTCAAAGTACAAAGTTATATCTCTATCTAAATAAAAAGGTTAAATGAATCTGACGATTTCTTTAATATTTTTAACAAACAAATTTGATTTTTTTTTTAGTTTAATAGTTACTTTCAAGGGTCTTACGTTCCAGAGATCGGAACATTTGTACCAGTATCTTAAAGCTGTCGAGCACTCTGATCTCTATTTGGCAAAACATATTCGCAAAGCTATGGCGGATAAAAATGAGCGAAATAAATTGCAGAACTTGCCAATACTAGTTCCCAATGACATTCAATTACACAAGAAAGCATGCTTAAAATTTTGGCCATTAAATTTAATCAGTGTGCCGAGTTTCAACAATACCTTCTCAGCAGAAAACAAAGGTTACTGGTACACAATGTTGCAGACTCATTATGGGGCATTGGTGCAAAGGCAAAAATGTTCAAGGTCATCGTTTAATGCAGTTTCGGCATCAAATGACCAATGCAGCCAGTACTCTCATATTTCCCTCCGCTACAACTGTTCAAACACCTGTCTCAACCCGATCTCAAACACCTGTCTCAACTCAATCTCCATCAGCTGTTCCCTTAGTTCCTTGCCCCACAATTGCTCAAACACCTGCCTCGGCTTAATCTCTATCAGCTGCTTCTTCAGTTTCATCCTCAACTCTCAACCAAAAATATTGCATTCATTGGTCACAATCATGTTTCAGATTTAGGAAAAATTGTATTTAACATTGCAAAATAATTATATCATTAAGTTTTTCAGTGATAGAGCTACAACGACAAAATCTACATACAGTCCTTAATTTAACAAAAAAAAATGTTAAATTTTGTCCAACAGACGTCTTTTTGGAAGTAGGAGGGAGAGAATGCCTGTAATTCTTTATCAGTACCCCTTTCCAGCTTTAAGTTCCTAAACCCTACAGTCAGAAGAGGACCTGGACAGATTTCCTTGGTTCGTGGGCAAGAGTAAAAAGAATAGTAATGCCGGGCAGGGGATGAATTTGGCGAGGGGCAGATATAAGGAGCGAGTTTATTCGATATATTGAGAACACTGTCATGCTAAATCAATGGCGAGAAGATACAAAACGACGCGGAAACACTTGCCTACAGATTGCCAGAGGACGTTCTAGAGGATTACGACCAATTGAAAAAATATGGATGACAGGTTTGGTCATCGTGCCATTAAAAAAAGTTATATTGCTGAGGTAAAATTACGGGAAAAGATCCATATAGATTCTTGAAGAGATTTTTGACAAGCCATTGTAGAGTTATGTAGGAGGGTGCATCCAACCAACAGAGATTACGTAGATGAAACCAGTCTTAAAACTTTCTTCAACAACTGTGATTATGACGAGGAATTCCGTCTTGTTGTATAACGAACGTGACCAAATACACTACAAGAAGCTGTTACCGCCGCAATGCAGGAAGAGTATATAAGAATAACAGAAAGCAGAATTTTCAGATATAGTCAGAATCATGATTTTAGACCTGTCTGTAGACCGAATGTTTCTGTGACTTTTGATGCTAAACCGTGCAAAACTGTGAACTACATGTAAATGGAGAATAAAGAAATATGAAGACAGTACTTTAATATAGCACTTGTATAGAGACTGTCTAAAAATTAACAAG